GGCCGAGGTGGGTGGATCACGAGGTCAGGGGTTCAAGACCAGCCTGGCCAAGATGGTGAAACCCTGTCGCTACTAAAAATACAAAAATTTGCTGTGCGTGATGGCGGGTACCTGTAATCCCAGTTGCTCGGGATGCTGAGGCAGAGAATTCCTTGGACCTAGGAGGCGAAGGCTGCAGTGAACTGAGATGGCAACACTGCACTCTAGCCTGGGAGACAGAGCAAGACTCTGGCTCAACAACAAAAAATATAGGAAGCAAAACCACAACTACAGAGACAAATGGACACACAGTTGGAAACTCTTAACTGCTGAACAAACCAAAAGCAAAGCAAAAAAAAAAACAAAAACAAACAAAAAAAAAAACAGAGAAGAAACAGAAGACTTAAATAGCAGGATTAAAAACTTGATCTAATAGACATATGAAGAACATCATACTCAAGAACTGCAGAATATACATTCATTTGAAGGATTCACGGATTATTTATAAAATCTGACTCTACTGGGCTGAAAGGCTGAAATCACAAAGAATGTTCTCTGAACACAAAGTTATTATGATTGAAATTATAACAAAAAGACAACTAAAAAATTCCCCACAAATTGGCAACAAATTAAGATATATTTATTTTTAACCTAACAGGTCAATGAAAGAACAATAATGGAACTAGGAAAATATTCTATACTGCACAATGCCACACTAAAAACAACACAGGAGATGCAATGAAAGTGATACTTAGGCGAGGGGTGGTGGCTAACGCCTGTAATCCCAGCACTTTGGGAGGCCAGGGGCAGATCACCTGAGGTCAGGAGTTTGAGACCAGCCTGACCAATACGGAGAAACCCCATCTCTACTAAAAATACAAAAATTAGCTGGGCATAGTGGTGCGTGCCTGTAGTCCCAGTTACTCTGAAGGGTAAGGCAGGAGAATGGCTTGAACCTGGGAGGCGGAGGTTGCAGTGAGCTGAGATTGCACCACTGCACTCCAGCCTGGAAAACAAGAGCAAAACTTCGTCTAAAAAAAAAAAAAAAAAAAAAAAGGAAAGAAAGAAAAGAAAGCGATACTTAGAGGAAGATATACAGTCTTCTATGCAATCTTTAGAAAAGAAAAGCTGAAAAACAAGTTAAGTATCCACCTATACCTGCACCATTCAAAATACACACGACTTTGAAGGTGTGATATGAAAAAAAAAAACCTCCTTTTTTATTGATTACATGTTAAAATGACAATATTTTTTATATAGTGGATTAAATAAACTATATTATTACAATTTTCATGTTTCCTTTTTTAAAAATAGCTATCAAGAATTTTTAATTACATATGAAACTCCATTTTATTTCTAGACAGAACTGATCTAAAGAATTCACAGCTGGGCGTGGTGGTTCATGCCTGTAATTCTAGCACTTTGAGAGGCAGAGGAGGGGGAGGTCAAGAGTTTAAAAGCAGTCTGGGCAACATAATGAAACCCTGTCTCTACTAAAAATACAAAAAAACTAGCCGGATGTGGTGGCACACACCTATAATTCCAGCTACTTGGGGAGGCTGAGGCAGGAGAATCACTTGAACCCATGAGGCAGAGGTTGCAGTGAGCTGAGATCATGCCACTGCACTCAAAAAAAAAAAAAGAAAAAAAGAATTTAGAAAAAGAACAGAAAAGAAAACCTGAAGAAGAAAAAAATAAAGCAGCAAGATTTAATGAGTAGTAAACATATCAGAGAGGCCTGACAAAACTCAAAGTTGGTTCTTTGAAAAGATTCATAAAACTGACAAACCTCTGGCAAAAACGATTTTTTAAAAAAAAGAACAAAAAAATAACCAAGAGAAAAGGAAGGACATTACTACATATTCTACAAACATCAAAAAGTTAATGAGAGCTATTCTGGGCACACTGCATATGGGGTAGCCCTGCTCCACAAGTAGTAGTAAATAAGTAAATAAAGTTAATGAGGATACCATAAATACCGTCTAAATTTTTTATAATGTAGATCAAATGAACAAATTCCTAGAAAAACATCACAACTTAAAAAATGGTCAAACGATGTAATATAGAGTGAGTTGGTTGAAGGTTAAAAAAAAAAAAGATGTACTTTAAACCTGAATCATCCTGTAACAAAGTAAATGAATTACCTATTTTAAAACTCTTCCCTAAAGAAAACTCCAGGCCCTCAATGGCTTTAAAATATTCTACTAAACATTTAAGTGGAAATGTTCATAATCAAACATCTTCCAAGAATGGAAGATTTATGAGGCTCGTTATCAATTTGATATGAAAACCCAACAAGAATATATGGAGAAAATAATTCCAAGCCAATCTTATGACTTAAAATGTGAAATCTTCCACAAAATATTAGCAAGTCAAATCCAGCAATCTCTTTATAATATATCACGGGAATGTTGAATTTATACCAGAAATCACAGGTTAACATTAGAACTAATATTACATTAATATATGTAATTCACCAGACATTAACAGCTAACGAGAAAAATTATATGATCATAATAATACACAAAAGGATTTTGATAAAATTTAATAACCAGGCCAGGGGTGGTGGCTTATGCCTATAATCCCAGAACTCTGGGAGGCCAAGAGTTCAAGATCAGCGTGGGCAACATAGCAAAACTGTGTCTCTACAAAAAAACATTAAAAAATTTAGTACTCAATTGTGAGAAAAACTCTTAAAGTCCCAACAGAAGTGAACTTCTTAACTTGAAAAAGGATACTTACAAAAACTAACAGCAAACATCATCTTTAACAGTGAAACGCTAAAAGCTTTTCTATGAGATTGGGAATAAGACATTGACACCACTTCTATTCAACACTGTACTACCCAGTGCAGTAACACAAGGAAAAGAAACAAAAAGTATAAGGACTGGAAAAGAAGAAATACGCTGTCATTAATTACATGCAAGACAGAATTGAGCATATAAAAAAATCCAGGATAATTTATATGTATGTTATGAGAATACGAGTTAGCAAGTTTCACTAGACAATCAACATTAGAAACAGAACTGATTTTTTCATAACGTGGTGTTATTAGAAAATGAAATTCTTTTTTTTTGAGAAAGAGTCTCACTCCATCACTCATGCTGGAGTGCAGTGGTATAATCTAGGCTCACTGGAACCTCTGCCTCCCAGGTTCAAGACATTCTTGTGCCTCAGCCTCCTGAGTAGCTGGGATTACAGGCACATGCTACCACATATGGCTAATTTTTGTACCTTTAGTAGACAGGGTTTCACCATGTTGGCCAGGTTACTTTTGAACTTCTGATCTCAAGTGATCCGCCTGCCTCAGCCGCCCAGAGTGCTGGGATTACAGGGATAAGTCACTGTGCCCGGCCAGAAAATGAAAATTAAAAGCTACCATTTGTAAAAGCACCAAGAACTATCACGCACTTAGGAATAAGTCTAACAAAAAATGCGTATTATCTTTCTTTAGAGAACTATAAAACTTTGAGAGATATTTAAAAAAGACCTGAATAGAGTAGGTATAGCATGTCTATAGACTGGAAGACTTAATATTGCAAAGAAGCAAATTCTTCCAAACAGATCATAAATTCATTTCAATCCCAATCAAAATCTGAACAGATTTTTCTCTGGAAAATTGCCGATTCTTGGAAAAGCTGATTCTAAAATTTGTAACAAATGGAAACAAATGGAAAGGGCTATGAATGTCCAACGTGGAACGACTTGCTCTACCAGATATTAAGACTTTTAGCAAAGCAATAAAAAGAGTGGCACTGATGCAAAGACAGACGAATCAATGGGAAGGAAAACAGACAACTTAGAAATGACCTTGCACTGAGTCTGAAAAATATATATTTTTCTGTAAGGCCTTTGGAAAACAATACATCAAAATACAATATAACTTTGAAAAAATGGGAGGAGCCAAGCATGGTGACTCAAGCCTGTAATCCCATCACTTTGGGAGGCCGAGGTGGGAGGGTCGCTTGAGCCCAGGAGTTTGCAACTAGCCTAGGCAACACACACACACACACACACACACACACACAACACACACAAACACATACCCATTCCCCAATCATATACCACACCTCAATTCTAACTTTCAAAGAAGCACATAAAAGTAAACATTAGCCCAATTTATTTTTAATTTGGCATGAGAATTTAGAAGACTAAAAAAAATAATAATTTCTAGTTAGAGGAGACTACACTGGACCCAAAGTCACTATATTTCTTTCTACCAGGTGTCAATAATAACATGATACCAAGGGACCATTTGGCAGCTTCTTTGTTCTCAGATAGGGTTTCTTTCTTTCTTCCTTTTGTTTTTTCTTCTTCTAACCCTCAAAAATGCAAACTCTAAGACTGACAGTGAAGGGAAGTCCCAGCGTGATCAGATATGATTCCTAGCTCTTGGGAAAAAACAGTTTAACCTGGTCTGAGGGAGAAAAACTGATTGAGAAATACAGCTGAAGTAGAAAATGAACAATCAGAAAAGCACATGCAAAATACAAAGCAAAAGATCATAAAATCTTATTAGAAAAAGTATTCATATAATGTACAAACTATATGTATGATTTAAAAATTGCATAATAGGGTCTAAATAACAATGTGAAATTTTATAGACATCTTCAGGATTTCAGAGTTCTCATTTATTATGAATAAACTATATTAATAAAGGTAATAATAAACTTAGGAAAACTAAATTGCTTTCACAAAGCTAGGCACTAAAAATACATAATATTGCACGAAAAAATTCCAGACTGATATGAATTGGCACTGTGAAATATTTGTTCAATTTTAATTTTAAGCAATCTTACTAGGAAAGTAACTGATTTTACTAGTAAAACAAGGACATAAATTTTAAAATCCACAAGTAGTTTGAAAAATAAAATAGTTCAACAGTTTAAAATTAGGGAAACAGTTTAAAGTTGAGAAATATATTTTTGGAACAAAAATTATTTGTCACTCAAGATAAATCCTAAGCTGACTAATTTCATTCTTCCCTGTGCTATTAAAAAGTACGCATGATGCGTTCTTACCTGGAATAAGATCTGCATAGGTCAAGCTAACATATAAGATACTGATAAGTATTTTATCAGCAAGTGGATCAAGTGCACTTCCCAAAGCTGATTTTTGACTGGCCCAGTTTCGAGCAATAAATCCATCCAACTGAAAATAGAAGTTTTGTTTTTTTTTTATAAATGTCATAACAGGAACAAAGTAGATATCCTGAAGCCTAAAATACACCAGAATAACAATTATACTCTCACAAAATGTTAACAAAATCTTTTCGATTTCTTACCCCAAACATTGTTATTCTTTCACTGGAATACATTTCACTTTTAAATTAGCAACTGGTCTTAAAATAAATGTGTTTTTTTCTTTTTCTCCCTCAAGGCCTACTTATTTCTCAGTATTTTCACAAGGCCCCTTTGTGGGATGAACCCAGACACACATTTAGAGATACATTTAGTGATGTGTTTAGAGATGTAAAGAACCCAAAGAAAACTCAAAGAAAGCATGCATGGCAGAGCTTGGACTAGAATAATATAATCCAACTGTTAAAACTTACTATTTTTCTGTTTTTCAACTTATTTTGCTCAATATCACTGTTTATTCCATATTCTGACTGCATCTACATTAACTACATTTGAGTAAAAAACTCAATTCTGTCTACCTGGTCTAGTCAAAATTCTGACATTTAAATTACTTATTTTTATATTATTTATTACAATTAAAAAGAAACCATATTTTAAGGCACAGGTTGTACCGAGTTGCGAGTGGGACAAATGGAGCCTGCAGGCTGGTTCTGTTTGATCTATCAGAGCTTTTAAAACAGTAATTAGTAATCAACATTTAAGTATTCAAAAATCTTCCCATAAAAAACCCAGATAGGCCGGGCGCGGTGGCTCATGCCTGGAATCCCAGCACATTGGGAGGCCGAGGCATGTGGATCACCTGAGGTCAGGAGATCAAGACCAGCCTGACCAACATGGAGAAACCCTGTCTTGGCTGGGAGTGGTGTCATGCGCCTATAATCCCCGCTACTCAAGAGGTTGATGCAGGAGAATCGCTTGAACCCTGGGGATGGAGGTTGTGGTGAGCCGAGAGTGCACCAATGAACTCCAGTGTGGGCAACAAGAGGAAAACTCCAACTCAAAAACAAAACAAAACAAAACAAAACAAAAAGATCTCTGGGGCCACAAAATGGACTGAAACCAATATTGCCTATCCACATTAAACGAGGCAGATATTTTCTGGTTTATCAAAGTCCCTTCCTGGCTTTTATTCATTTAACTTCAAGCTTAAACAAATATTTGAGTTCTCTAATACTATTTCTAAGGGAAAAAAGATTAATTTAGATGCAATTAACCACGGTTCATTTTAAAGAATAAGTTGTCCCTATCTCAAGTACACCAATGAGTCAGAGAAGACAGCAGTAGTCCAGGACTGTGGAGTAAAAGAAAAAATGTGATCTTTGTAGCAGAACAGCAGCTGTTCAAGTCTTGGCTCTGCCACTTACCAGCTGTGTGACCTTGGACAAATTATTTGGCCTGACTAAGCCTTAATTTCCTCATCTGTAAAACAGAGATAAATTACCTACCTCAAAGGGTTGGTTGTCTTCAGCACATATAGTAACTAATTCTTGTTCAGCACTTTGCATTTAGTAAATCCTCAAAAAAAAAGCAGTTACTAGCGATCACTATCACAATTGAAAAAACCTATTTTCTTCTTAAGCCTACTAACAGAAAGTACCTACCCTGGGGAGCTGGGACCTTGGAAGATCAGGTTTAGTTCGGTTTCTCATCTCAGGGAACTTAACCTCTCGCTTTTTTGCCATCATCCCCCTCTCATCTTCACCATTCCTCTAACCCACATTAGATTCCAAGGTCATCAACGTCATTCCTTTGCAAACATCTGTAACTCCCCTTTACTCCACTCTCCTTCAGCCCTGCTTAAAAACAACTCTCCATGTACTCTGGGCCTGCACCTAAGAGCTGAACAGTGCTTAAGGAAAACAGACAAATGGGAAGTCTAGTCTCACTTCAAACTGGTGAACACAAATATCCCATGGGCACTCGCTGCCTAGCAATCCCACACCTGCTGACTGTATTTACCCTTTCACACTGTCTCTGCTCTCACCTCAGACCTAACTCCATCCCTCTAGTTCATGGCCATGTTTATATTTTCCTTAAGACAAAAGAAAAAGGGTCAGCCCGTCCTCATATTTCCATCACCAAATCCCCCACCTAACTACATCCATTCATTCTCTCTGCCTTCCTTGATCCGTTCCCAAGCCTTCTCACCTTCTGGGACCTGCCTCCCTCTTCCCCATCTCCCCTTGCACCATCAATCTCTCCTTTTCATTTAATTTAATCTCTCTACCTGATCATTTCATTAATCAGTTAACTAACAACAAAAATTCACTGGACATGGTGGCACACCTATAGTCCCAGCTACTTGGAAGGCTGAGGTAGGAGGATCGTTTAAGGCCAAAAGTTCAAGGCCAGCCTGGGTAACACAATGAGACTCATCTCAAAAAAAAATTCCCCCTCCAGTATATATCTTTTTAAAAGACCGTTCTGTGATCCTATTTCTCTATTCCCCTACAAAGCAAAACTGCCTCAAAGCAACATGTCACTACCATCTCACACCTGTTAATCAACCCACTCCAATCGTCCCCACCCCTCCAGAGGTAAGGCTCATAAAGGTCACCGATAATTTCCACATTGTTAGATTACCTGACCTCAACACAACTGAAGCACTTTCTCCACTTCCCAGGAAATCTTACTGCCTAATTTTCTTCCTTCCTTGCCAGCTATTCCTTCAGGGCTCCTGACTGGCTTCTTCTCCAGTACTCAACTTGTTGCTCATTTCTCTAACCCTTCATTTCTGTTAGCTGAGCCCAGATGATTTTACACATATCTGACCATCTATATCTGACAGCCCCCAAATTTCTCTCTCTGTAAGGATGACTTCCTCCAACTCTAAACTGCTAAACTGCCCAGTCAATACCTCTATGTAGATAGGCAACAGAATTCTTAGTATTTTCCACTAAACTCTGCCCTACCCAAGTGTTGCCCATCACAGAAAATGTCATTTCCATGCACCTGGTTTTTGTTTTGTTTTGTTTTTTGAAACAGTCTCCCTGTGTCGCCTAGGCTGGAGTGCAGTGGTATGTTCTCAGTTCACTGCAGCCTCTGCCTCCTGGGTTCAAGCGATTTTCCTGCCTCAGCCTCCCCAGTAGCTAGGATTACAGGCATGCGCCACGACGCCCAGCTAATTTTTATATTTTTAGTAGAGACGGGGTTTCACCACGTTGGCAAGGCTGGTCTCGAACTCCTGACCCCAGGTGATTCCCCCGCCTCAGCCTCCCAAAGTGCTGGGATTACAGGTGTGAGCCACCACGCCCGACGGTACCTAATTTTAGAAGAGAATTTAAAAAAAAAAAAAAAAAAAAAGAGCCTAGTATTCATATTTGATTCTTCCTACTCTCACTCCATATATCTAATCTACCAACATAGCATCTCTGTCTTTAAAATATATCTTAAACCCACATACCTCTCTCCAACTCCAAACTCCAACCCCAGTCTAAGCTCCTACCACTGCTGCCCTAGATCATGGTCAGCCCCTTAACCAGTTATTCTGCTTCCACTCTTGCCTGTCTATAATCCATTTTCCACATACAACCCAATCAGACTCCATTATTCCCTGCCTTAAACTGGTGAGTCCAGCCATCTCCCAGTGGCCAATCTAAAGGCACTAAAACCTCCATGGAAAACATGAAATGTGGTACCCGTTAACTCAGGTTTCCACAAACATCATCTTACATATTTAGGAAAATGTTAATGGGGCCTGTCTCACATTCAATGAATACTGCAATCTCATTTGGCAGCTTAAAAAAAAAGCAGCAGACAGAAGTGACTACAGTAACTGAAAAAGATCTTGTCTGTTATATTTTAAAAAGTTGTTATCGTATAACGGCCTTTGGCGGACTTGGAGATCATATTAACAGTGAGTGGAGGCCTTGTAATAGAAGGGACAGGTCACGCGCCTGTAATCCTGGCACTTTGGGAGGCTGAGGTGGGCGGATGATCTGAGGTCAGGAGTTTGAGACCAGCCTGGCCAACATGGTGATACCCCATCTCTACTAAAAACACAAAAATTAGTCAGGTGTGGTGGTGCATGCCTGTAATCCCAGCTACCCAGGAGGCTGGGACAGGAGAACTCCTGGAATCCCACAAGCAGAGGCTGCACTGAGCCGAGATCACACTGCTGCACTCCAATGTGGAGGACAGAGAATTCATCTCAAAAAAAAAAAAGCAAAAAAGCAGGGACAACAGAAAGGGAGAGAGATTGTGGTGAGAATAGGAAGAGGTCGTGACAAATATTAA